CGTAAGCTGCCCGCGCAAGGTCGCGAGTGCGCGTTCCACTGTGGCGTTCCGCGCTGGCGGCCTGCGTGAGCCGCAGCGTGAGGTCGCTGCGCCATCTTGCCAACTTGCTCAGCTTGCCCCACCTCAGCCCCGCGCAGATGGGGGTAGGGGGAGGTGGGCAGGCTTTCTAGAAGCGCCGCGCCCCTGCTTCCTAGCAGGCGCGGACCTCGTCTGCAGGTGCAGGGCTGGCGCATTCTGAGAAGCAGAATACTTCTGCGGCCGCCTCGCCCGTATTCCATCGGATCAGGGCTCTCATTGCGTCGGTGGCTGATGACCCTGAGTGCCTTGTAACATTCCGGGCGAACCCCTGGTTCCAGAGCTCCATTTACTCACACATGGAGTCCACATATACTAGCCTGTCTGCTCTTTGTGGCGCTCCGACTCTCCCAACTGTCGGGCTTCAGAAAGCCACGACAAAGCACCTCAAGCAACATGAGGGTCAGGAGGCAGCCGCCACCATCGGCAGGCGCATTCGGAAGTATATGCCCTGTACCGACAGCATGCTGAATTGCCTTGTGTCGTCACTCGCTCTGATTGCCAAGCAGGTGCCTCCGTGTGTCATGGCCTCCACCCTTCGCACCCTTGTCAATGGATGGTGCTGTTCTGGTCGGTTTTCGGAGCCTCTGAAGCCATGCCTCTTCTGCGGTGCGCCCCGGCAGGATAGGCTCGCACACCATGTCATGTGCCCCGCGATTTGCCGGTTTGTCTTCCCCCTTCTTCCTCGGCTTCCTCCCTCGTTTGTCTCGTGCCTCGGCCGCGCCCGTCGCTGCTTCGCCCCGTTCCTGCCTCTGCCGTTGCCTCAGCTCGTCTCTATCGCTGTTTATCACGATCTCACTTGCACGTGCTACCACAGCTTCCGCCACGCTGGGGGGTTGAGGGGGGCCCGCCTGGGGTCGGCAGCCTGAGCTCGACTGTCGCAGCTTTTCAGGAAGGCGCCCGCCCTTTCGGATCTGGTCCAGTAACCCCCTAGCTCGGTGTGGCGGGGAGCGGGGGCAAACATTGACTTTAACTTTTGCTCGCCTTTGCACTCTCTCCGAAATACCCCGGGATGCCCGGACACTTTAATGCAAGAGTAGTTCTCTCTATTGCGTGGTGGTCTTCGTCCTCGCGCGGGAAAGCCTCCTTGAGGGGCGCGGATTTCTCTTGCCCCTGGACGGGCGGCGTTCTTCGCGTTCGTGCTCTTGTCCGCCCTTCTTTCTTGGCAGTGGCGCTCCTCCTCCCCCTCCTCCTCCTCCTCCTCCTCCTCCTCCTCCTCCCCCTCCTCCTCCTCCTCCTCCTCCCTCCTCCCTCCTCCCTCCTCCCTCCTCCCTCCTCCCTCCTCCCTCCCTCCCTCCTCCCTCCTCCCTCCCTTGCTCCTCCCTCCCTTGCTCCGCAGCCGCGGTACCCACTGACCTTTGCAGTGGGTGGCCACCACGGCTAGGCGTGTGAGGGCCGTCCCAGGGCGCGCATTGAAAGCCTCACCGCGCCTGCGGGCGACACGCCCCTGACCCAGGCCACGGCGGGTAGGCGGGGGAGCCTCCCTCCCTCCTCCTCCTCCTCCTCCTCCTCCTCCTTTTCCTCCTCCTCCTCCTCCTTTTCCTCCTCCTCCGCCTCCTGGGCCCGAGCAGCCCCGTGGCCCACTGGCTCGGGAGCAGCCTGCTGCACTGGCAGGCTCCCCTCGCGGGCCTCGGAGGACCCCTGCGGGCGGGAGAGGTCGAACTCGCACCGCGGGCGGGGCCGCTCCCTCGACGGCCTGGGCCGGGCAGCGGGCGTAGCCTGCTGGCTGCCTGGTGGCCCGTTGTTGGGAGGCCTGGCCTGGAAGTGCGCACCATCATTCAGTCGGGCATGTCCCTCTGGAGGAGGGATTTTCAAAAATAGTAAAAAACTAGTCTGGGGATTATGTTTGGGGTATTTTGTTCGACCATTTTGGAGTATTTTTGGGGTATTCTTAATTTTTCGTCGAAATTCCCCCTGTAGGGGGAACCGCCCGACTTAACACCATCACCAACGCACGGGCATGCCTCAAACTGGGGAAGATGCTCCTGGAATTCGGTGTTGGTGGTACTGCTTCGGCCACCTGGGAAGTCAAAGTAGTACCACCATCACCGAGATCGGGAGCTCCTTCCCTCGGTGGAGGCACACCGCCGATACTGGTGTTGGTGTCAACCTTCAGGCCTTCCACATGTTGGGCCCCTCCGCTGACAAGGGAGCCGCTCGGACGGAATCCTGCAGCGGCTGGGAAGCCCTCGGCCGAACAAGGAACGCTGCGTCGTCCCAGTCATCTGGCGCGTTCCCAGAAGGCGCCTCGCGCCCCCACGGGAGCCAGTGGAAATAAAACGTCGGCGGGCCTGCTGGCGCAAGTTCGTCGGAAGGCGGCGGAGGTAATCGTCGTTTTCTTCTTCATTGTTTTGCTGATCGGCGCGGGCCCTCGCACCCCCTCCCCCTCCCCATGGAGTAGATCTTGGCCTTTTTTGGTGCCTGTTTCAAGCAGGTGGGGTCTCCCCTAGAGGACGCACTGTTGCAAACAGTCGCGCTAAGCAGAGGTCCAGAGCCAGACCCCCCCGCTCCTCCCCCTCTTTCCGCCCAATGTCGAAACGCCGAGTAAGAATACGAAAAAGAAAAAGAAGCAGAAGAAGACGACTCAGAAAAAGAATAAGAAGAGGAAGCATAACAAGTGTCGCTGCAGCAGCCAGCCAATTAAACAGTGTGACTACACTGCGCGAGAAGAAGGAATACGGACACCATGGGAGAGCCCCGTCGGCTCGTCGGCGTGCTGGTGAAGCTGCTGCAGCAGCTGCTGCTCCTCGTTCCCCTGCTCTGCAACCGGCGGCGTGCCGAGTAAGAATGACTACGTTCTCAGATTTAGGGTTTCGGGAATCGGCCATCTGTGTCATGACCTCGCTGGCCTCCTGGGTGGCCTGCGAGCGGTTGGGAAGGTCTGGCAGCCTGCGCCGCCTGCTCGTCGGCGAGGCCGCTCCCCGTGGCCAGCACTCGCTCGGCCGAGGAAGGATCTTCAGAGGAGGTCAGGGTACCGATACTGATGCCCTTCTGTGGTTTCGCCTTTTTGCGTCTCCTCGGGGGCCCTCGTCGCCATGCTGGATTCGCCTCGAGATCTTAATCAGAACGCGCCCCGGGAGAGGACTGGGGAGTTGCTGTATTGGTGCCTTTTTGCCCACCAGATTAGGGCCTCTGGGGTCAAGATGGGACGGAAACCAACTCACAGCCACATCATTCTCTCCTCGATCTTGGAGCGCAGGCCTGACGCGAAACCAGAGATCAAGACTGACCCCGCTGCAGGTTTCAAGGCGACGCCGCTGCCCTCCTGGAAGCAAAGCTTTGCTGCCAGTGGCAAGCTCAAAAGGGCCCAGGGACCTTCTGCAGCGCGAGCTGTTGCCAACTTCGCAACTGTCGCCGCGTTCGTTTGCTCCTGGGAGGTCCAACTGGGCGGAGGGACTCGCGGATCAAGACGAAGCGGCTCCCCTGACAGGCTGTCAACTGTGCAACAGTCGCCACTCTGTAGAAGAGTTGACGTGGTCCGATGCTGCTTGGCCAAACGTTCAAGTCTGCCGCAGATCGTTCATAGTGTTCTTTTGTGCTGAGCGGTCCTATGCATAGTCGCCACACTTTTGGAAAGTGTTGGGTACGTCTCGGGTAATGTTTAAAGTGCGAACCTCCATGACATCGTGACTTTTGTTCCCGCCCAGAGTGCTCTGTAGTGGAGCGGCAATCATGGACAACACGGGGTCACACGGCCTGGTGGGGTCACGTCACATGCTCCCGACACGGATGTGTGATTGCGGTCCCGCGCTCACGCTACAGAATGGGGGCGCGGCCATCTCGTGGTCATGCCGGCCTCCAGGGGCTTCTTCCGCAGGCCCTAGGTCAATAAAACACAGCCCGCGGTGAAGAGCTGGTCCTGGGCTGGGGCTCGATCGAGAGCTCCAGCTCTGGGCCCACGTCGCTGAACAGAATGCGCCGTCGAGGGTATGGGCCTCGTACCATTCCCCCCCCCTCTCTCTCCTCTCGTCCTGCCTCGCTTCCGCTACCCTCCGCAGCCAGTTTGGCTGAAGGGTCGTTCTCGGACCAACCCCACAGCGCACGCAGCACAGACCAGGCACCACCACACCCTGAGATCCGACGTTGCGAAAAACTGCAGCATCACGACAAATCACGACCAGAGCCCTACACACTATCGTCCTGCGGCGTTTCTCGCGAGCCGCATCGATCCATGAGAGGCCCTGGGACCCGAAGCAAGGCAGAGCCGCCCGGCGCGGGAATATTGCCACGCCCAGATCTCAGGGGACGAACCCAGACATCCGGCGTCCCGATGTTTTCGAGACGCGGGCCCCTTACCTCTTGACCATTTTCCCAGGACCAGCTTTTCACCCCCAGCAGTTTTTTCGCTGCCCCGATGCCTGGTGAGGCTGACAGGCCGAAGACAGGAACAAAAACCTCCGTCTCGACGCATCCGAGGTGCTGGATGTCCAGGAAGACGGCGAGATCCGCCCCCCCGCCATGAAGCCTCGCCTCGGTGGGTGCGCCGCGGCGGCGGCGGCCTGCCTCGCGCTCGCCGCGTGGAGCGGCCGGGCCTTCGCGGCCGCGGGCGCCGGCGCGGGGACTACGCGCCCGCAGGCCGCGGCGCTGCCGCGCGGCAGCCTCGCGGCCTCCAAGGGCGGAGCGCCCGCGGCGGCCGCGGCGGCCCCGGCGAGCAGCGCCTGGAGCGCCCGCGGCTGCGCCGCCGGGGCGCTGCTGGCCGCGGCCCTCGCCGCGCGGCCGCGGCGGGCCGCCGCCCGGCCGGGGCGGCGCGGGCCAGCGGCGCGCGGTGGTGCGCCTCGCCGCGGGGCGGCCGCCGCGGCGCCGGCCCTCCCGGCCCCCGCCGCCGCGGCCGCGGCCCCGGCGCCCGCGCCGGCGGCGGCGGCGGCGGCGTGCCTCGCCCGCGACCTCGCGCCCCTCCGCAGCTCGGAGGCGCCCACGGCGGCCTCCGCGGTGGCGCCCGGCGCCGAGGCTGCGGCCGCGGCGGCGAGCGCGCCGCGCGCGGTCGGGTCCGTGCGCGCGCCGCGCGCTGAGCCGGCGCGGCTTGTAGGCGGTGTGCGCACGTCCCAGGGCCGGGCTCCGCGTCGGAGTGCCCACGCCGCCCGCGGCGTGCGCCGGCGCGCGGGCGCGAGGCTGTCTCCGTGCCAGATGGCGGAGCCTGTCGTGGTGCCGTACGACCCGAGCCGCGTCCGCACGCAGGTGCAGCTCGGGCTCTGCGCCCTGCAGGTCAGAGGAGGAAGAAGAGGAGAAATTATCGATGCCGCCACTCTTTTCCTTCGCTTTCGCTTTTTTTTGTGGTCTCTTGGGAGGCTCTCGTCGCCCCGGCAGGGTTCGCCTAGTCCTGGTCAGAACCCGCCCCGGGGGGTCCGGGGAGAAGCGGTTTCGGTACCCTTTTGGTTTCACTGGAAGGGTGCGCAGCCGCACGCCGCGCGCTCGAAGACCCCGTACGCGAACGGCCGCATCAGCTACTCCGCAGAATTCCTATCAAACTACGTAAGCTTAAGAAGTATGATCATGAGAAGGTGACGATTCCATAGGCTTACGCCACATCCGCCGACCCCTATATAAACTGTTGCGCCTCCAGGACTGCATTTCACGATGCTTTTCCGAATCATGACACGGCGCTCGCCATCGTTCCTGTTGTTTCGGTGCTGTTATCGTACCTCTTGGTGCTCTTTTGGGGGGAGGGGGGATTATGGGGGAGGCTTATGGGGGGGATAATCTCACACGCCTAGAGACCCACAAGGGGTCGGCGGACTTTGGACCCACATGTGTCTTGTAGACGTACGCTTTCAGCGGGACTCGTCCGACGCTTGGCTGCGGGGCCTGGAAGCGGAGAAGGCCATTCGGCCGCCGAGGTCGCCGGAGGTCACCGGGCGGCCTGCCTCGCAGGCTCGGGGTGGTCGAGCGGGGTGGTTTGACTTTGGGCGGCGTGCCCAGAGTGGAAGGCAGAGGGTGCTCGAGGTTTGATTCTCGAGGTTTTGGGGCGTTTTCGTTGGTTTCTGGCGGTTTTCCAGCCTCGGGATGCCTTCCAGCAGCTGCGCCTCGCCGAAAGCGGTCTGGGGATGTCTGGATCGACCCGAACAGCCGCTGGAGAGCCCAGACATGGCCCTACGACCAACAGGCGTCCGTCCTCCTCCTCCTCCTCCTCATTCCTCCTCCTCCCTCCTCCCTCCTCCCTCCTCCCTCCTCCTCTCCCTCCTCCCTCCTCCTCCTCCCTCCCTCCTCCTCCTCCTCCCTCCCTCCCCTCCCTCCCTACCTCCTCCTCCCTCCCTCCCTCCTCCCTCCCTCCCTCCCTCCTCCCCCCTCCCCCTCCCCCTCCTCCACCTCCTCCTCCTCCTCCTCCTCCTCCTCCTCCTCCTCCTCCTCCTCCTCCTCCTCCGCCATCTCCTCCTCCCTCTCCCCCTCCTCCACCTCCTCCTCATCCTTCTCCTCCTCCTCCTCGGGTCGCCTACGGCCCCGGGGGAAACCGTGCACCCGCAGCTATCCGAGCTATCCCGTCCTTTCGTCCACCCCGACAGGCTTCCTGCCAGGTGGGCGTCCGCACGCTTCCCTGATGGGCCGCGCGCCGGGCGATTTTTCTTCGGGGCGGGGGTTGGGGGCGGAGGCCGGCCCTGGATGTAGCCCGAAGCGGCTGGCGGTGTCTGCTGCCGCGCCCGGCTTCCGTGCCGACAGGTGAGCGACGGAAGGAAGCGGTGCGATGTAGCGTGAGCGCCCTCTTCTCGACGCGGTGCGCCCCGCGCTGGCGGCCCGCGAGTGCCGCGGCGTAAGGTCGCCATGTCTTCTCGCGTAAGAGCCGTTTCTTTTCGTCGCCCAGGTGGATCGGATGAAGGAGGATCACCACTCGCGCCACCCGTGGGGGGACAGGTGGGGGGCCGGGGGGGTCGCCATGACGAAGCGTGGTTCCAGGGGAAGTCGGAAGGATGATGGGCTTGTTTTCCACCACCACCACCACCATAAGTTGGAGGGGGAGGAGGAGGAGGAGGAGGAGGAGGAGGAGGAGGAGGAGGAGGAGGAGGAGGAGGAGGAGGGAGGACGAGGAGGACGAGGACGAGGAGGAGGACGAGGAGGACCCCCCCCCCTTCCAAATTTTGGTGGTGGTGGTGGTGGTGGTGGAAAACAGGCCCATCAAAGGAGGCGCCGATGCCTTTTCCGTCTTTTTCGGCTTCCTGGGTCCTGGGGCCTTTCCCTGGGCCTGGTGCCGCCAGAACACGGCTCGGGATGAAACCGACTCCCTGGGAAAGCCCAGGGCTCCAGGAGCCACTCCACTAAGGACCCTCCCTGTTCGTTGATGGCATAATGGCGATGCATACGCTCACTGGGGAGCATTCTGCACGCCTGCATCCCACAAATCAGCAGATCCTGCACTCCCGGGGTGGTGGTGGCGAGCTTCCTTCTTCCTCGGTGGAGGGCTCGGCTCTTTCCCTCTCTGGCCTCCCTCTCGCTCTCTCCCTCTATCCTGCTGGCTCCCTCCCCAGCTTTCCGACGCCGCGTTTCTTCCGCGACGTAGGCCCCAGAGCTCTTGACCCCTATCCCAGGGATTGTTCTTGTTCTCCCCGGGTCGTTTTCTGTGGACCCAGGGCCTGGAAACTGCCCCCATTCGCTAAGATATTGAAGAGCACTAGTGGTGCTGTTCTTCGAGGCGCCTGGAGGTTTGTGTCCTCGTTCTGTCCCCTTCAAGTCACCCTCCTCCCGAACAGTGGTTGCCACTTGGCAGGCCGCTACTGCCACCATTCCCTTGGAGCACCACCAGCTCCAGGGCATGCATTTTCCGCCCGTTTCGTGATTCAGTTGGCGGCCAATCAATCGGGAAGCATTTGCACAGCATCGCTCCTCCTCCCCCTTCCCCTCCTTCTCCTCCTCTTCCCCTTTCGTCCTCACCCACTTTCTTCCCCTCCTTCCCCTCCTCCTCCTCCTCCTCCTCCTCCTCCTTCTCCCCCTAACCCTCCTCCTCGTGCTCCTCCTCCACCTCTTCCTGATCCTCCTCCTGATCCTCCTCCCGTCTCGTTCTCCTCGTCCCCCTCCTTGTGGTCCTCGTTGTCATTCTCCTCACTCGTCGCCCTCGTCGACATCATTTCTCGTCGTCGCCTTCGTCGTCGTCGTCGTCCTCCTCCTTATCGTCCTCCCTTCTTGTCGGCCGCCTCCTCCACCTCCTCCTCGTTCTCCTTAAAGTCCGTGGCCCTCCTTCTGCTCCTTCTCTCCCTGAGGCCGCCATGAGCTGGCGAGCCAAGCTGGCAGTTCAGAACAGTTGTACTACACACTTTGCTTGATTGCGGGGCGAACGTTCGAACGTCTTGCGACGCGTCAGCGGGTCGAGGCCCTGGGGCCGCAGAATGGTCCTTTCAGCCGCCCCTACGAAGTTTGAAGCTGCATTGGGCTGCAGAAGTTACAAAAACTTTACCGTCGTCGTGTCGTCGTCGTCGATCGAGGGGGTCGAGTTCATCGTGTTTTTTCGGGGGGGGGGGGGGCGGTCGAAGGGCACTCTTGGGGGGGTCGGTCCAAGGGTACTCTGGGCGTTCTAGTGGTTTCGGGGGGGGGGGTACGGGGGCAGGCGGCGTTGCATTATTTTTGCAGGGCGTTGGGGGGCATGATATTGAACGCTAGAGAGTGCGATCTCTGGTAACATGTTCTCTTGTCTCCGCGGGGCACCTCCGAGCTGGTATGCAGCTACGCCGATCTTTCAGGCAATTTCCCTCCTCGTGTCTGCCCCGCGTTTATCCAGCAGCTCCTGGGATGCGGGCCCGATGCGGCCCTTGCCTACGAGGCTAGCTTGGCGTTCGCCGGGTAGGTTTGCAGGCAATTGGCCCAGGTGTCGCAGGGCAACCGTTTCTATCCATCACAGTTTTGTTTGTAGAAGATTTGGAGCGGAAGGGTGGTGATGATGATGACGATGATAATGATGTTGATGCTGCTGATGATGATGCGGTTGATTATGATGATGGTGATGACGATCATTCTGATGCTGGTGTGGACGATGATGCTGATGATTATGGTGATGGTGATGATGGTGGTGATGCTGCTGATGATGATGCTGCTGATGATGATGATGATTATGATGATGACGATTCTGCACATGCTGGTGATGATGATGCTCATGGTGCTAATTGTAATGATGATGATGCTGATGAGGATGCTGATGATGATGCCGATGCTGATGATGATGATGACGGTGATGATGATGATGATGCTGATGAAGAAGATGATGATGATACTGATGATGATGCTGACGGTGATAATGAGGATGCTGATGCTATGACGGCCAGATTGAAGACGTTGATGATGATGATGATGCTGATGATGATGATGATGAGGAGGAGGAGGAGGAGGAGAACGATGATGATGCTGATGATGGTGGTGGTGATGATGATGCTGCTGATGGTTATGAGGCTGCTGCTGATGAGGATGATCACTATGATGAGGCGGATGATGATGTTGTTGTTGCTGCTGCTGCTGATGCTGATGATGATGATGATGATGATGATGGGCTGCTGCTGCTTCATGATGATGATGCTGATGATGCTGCTGATGATGATGATGCTGATAATGATGATGATGATGATGATGATGATGATGATGATGATGATGATGATGATGATGATGATGATGATGATGATGATGATGATGATGATGATGATGATGATGATGATAATACTGATGCTGATAATGATGCTGATGCTGATGCTTCTGCTGCTGCTGCTGCTGCTGATGATGATGATGATGATGATGATGATGGTGGTGGTGGTGGTGGTGGTGGCGGTGGAGCTGGTGGTGGCGACGGTGGTGACCTTGACCATGTTGACAAAGGGGTGATGTTGCTGGTGATGAGGATGAGCAGGGCTGTGTTCTGGGACACGTTCTCGAGCCAGCGTTCCGCACGCTTTTGAGCAGGACTGGCCAGAGTGATTTGTTTCGACCCTCTCGTGTCGGAGAGGAAGCACGACGGACGGTTTTGCCTTTTTCGGCCTCTGGGGCCTTTGCCAGGCCCTGGGACCGGCAGAACACGTCCCGGGGTCGATGACAAGCCGGTCCCGGGGAAGGGGTCTAGACCTCCAGGGGTCGACGATGTAAAACAATCATGACGTCGGGGGTCTGGGTCCCCCATCACTGGCTGCGCGCTTGGACTCGGTCCCCTTGCGGCCCCCGAGATGGTTGCTCTTGCCTGTGTCGCAAGCGGCCAAAAGCATTTCGCCTTACTCGGACCCCCGACGTCGTGATTTTTTCGCCACGTCGACCCCCAGAGGTCTGGACTCTTTCGCCAGGACCGGTTTTTCATCCTGCGCCGTTTTCTGACGGGCTCGAGGCCCAGGAATCAGAGGCGGCGAAAGGGGCGAATAGCCCAGGGGAGAGCAATACATGTATCCAGGGGCGCCGATGATCTATGTCTTCGACAAGGCTCCCGGGCGAATACGTGTATGCCCGCACCTGGGCTATTCGTCCTTGTCGTCGCCGCCGAGGGAAGGGCCCCCGGAGCCCAAAAGTCGAGAAAGACCTGCCGTCGTGTTTTTTTCACCGCGCGAGGGGGTCTTGCTTGCTCTCAGCTTCACGACGCGAGGAGGCCCGGGTCCTCGCCCCCTCTTGAGTTCTGGGCCCCAGGGCAGGGCCAGGGAAAAAAGCAGGCCGAGGCTTGGCGCTCCGCTGCCTGCCAGCGCTCCCTTTTCGGGGGTTGCTGACGGCTACCCTGGGTTTCTCAATAGGCGTGGGGGGGTACCCCTCCGACGAGGGTCAACCTCGCTTCGTCGTCGCGCCTGGACGAGGGTCGGAGCGCCTCTGGCGCGCGGTGGCTGCCCGCGATGGGGGCCGATGTGGGGCTGTCGGCGGGGGTAATGCCCCCCCCCCGACGCTTATTAAACTCGGAATCAAGGTGCCCCTGGCCCAAGGTGCCCTCAGCTTTTCGTTCCATGTTTGAGACCGTGGGGCCCTCTGGGCCTCGTGAGGAGTGCTCCAGAGGCCGTGGAGGCCTCCTTGGGAATCCTGGGGGCTTCCCTGGCCTTGCTCTGCCCCCTTCGCCCCTCGCCACGGGGGGAAACGGGTCTTGAGGGAAGCGGGTCCTTGGCCTTCTGAAGGCTTGCGCAACGTCCGCCGACCCTCGGGGGTGCTCTGCGGCTGCCCTGGCGGCGCCTGGGGCCGTCTGAGGACGGTGGCCTCAGCGTCGAAGCTGTGTCCGTCGTGTGCCAGAGTCCGGCAACCAAATTCCGAACATGCATGTCGCCATGGGGGACATGGGTCCTGATTCACCGAGCGCGTTTCAATACTCGCAAACGCCCGAAAAAGACGTGTCTGCCTCGATGCAATTTATCGTAGAGCCCCCGCGGCGGATCCAGGCCATTTGCGAGTAGCTACTTTGCGAGTAGTGGAACGCGCTCGTCTACTGATGGAAACGGGCCCTGGGTCTTTTCGCCGTGTTCGGGCTCTCGGGGCCCTCCACGGGCCCTGGGGCCCTGCCAGCAAACGGCTCTGGATGAAAAGCTCGCCCTGGGGAAGGGCACCACGGGGTCCAGGGCCCGCTTCCCTCAGGACCCGCCTCCCCCATGCTGAGGTCCCCGCGCCCAGACCTCGGCCACGCGCAGAGGGGTCGGCGACTTGGGTCCGTCACGTGATGCGAATCTGGGGAGGAGGAGGAGGAGGAGGAGGAGGAGGAGAGGAGAGGAGGAGTAGGATGAGAGGAGAAGGAGGGGATGAGGAGGATGAGGAGGAGGAGGAGGAGGAGGAGGCAGGAAGGAGGGGAGGCGGAGAGGCAGGATGAGGAGGAGGGGAGGAGAGACGAGGAGGAGAAAGGGGAGGAGGAGGGGCTGAGGAGGAGGAGGAGTAAAGGCGGAGGGCGGATAAGGAGGAGGAGGATGATGAGTGGGAGGAGGAGGAGGAGGAGGAGGAGGAGGAGGAAGAGGAGCAGTTGGGGGGAGGGGACTTCGCATCACGTGACGGAATCCCTCTGCCTAGGGTGGGTAGGGGGAACCGGGAAGGCTTATTTGAAGCACCCCTGCTTCTTAGCAGACGCGCGGGCGCGGGCCTGCCCTGTAGATCTACAGGGCCGGTGCCTTCTAAGAAGCAGCCTCCTTCTCAGAGAGTTTTTTTGTTTCACCCGTTGGGCCAAAACGCGCGTTATGCCCCCCTACCCTCCCCCTCCCGCCCCACCCACCCCATAACTTGACGCTCCCCCCCTCAGTGCGCCCCTGGCACTGCCGCAGTGCGTCCGGCACTACAGTCTGGGGGGGGGGCCCTGGACCCCCCCCCTCCTCCCCCCAGAACGCCCGTCATGGTCGCGAACAAAAAGGTTGGCGCTCTAAGAAGCCTTCCCCCCCCTGTGCACGACAAAGACTTCTTCGCTCCCCCCCAGACCCCCGACGTCGTGTTTTTTTCACCACGTCGACCCCCAGAGGTCTGGACCCTTCCCCAGGGACCGGTCTTTCATCCTGCGCTGTTCTCTGACGGTCCCGAGGCCCGGGAAGGGCCCCGGGAGCCCAAAGGTCGCGAAAGACCTCTCGTCGTGTTTTTTTCTTTTGTTCTCCTGACGCGATGAGGTCTGGGTCTCCCGTCTCCCCGCCGCCGCGGCCGGAGGCTCGCGGAGTCCTCCGACGGGGTGTTCGTGTTCGCGGCCGGGGCCCTCGAGGTCGACGCGCCGCCCGCCGGCGGCGCCTGCCGCGTGTACCCGGAGGCGCGGCCGGCCCCAGGGCCTCACGTCTAGGCCTCCCAGATGGTGATGGGCCTGTTGTCCACCACCATCGCCACAAGTTGGATGGGGGGAGGGAGGAGGAGGAGGAGGAGGAGGAGGAGGAGGAGGAGGAGGAGAAGGAGGAGGAGGAGGAGGAGGAGGAGGAGAGGGTGCGGAGGAGGGAGGAGGAGGAGATGAGAGGCGGGTTAGTAGGCCCCCCCCGGGCCCCCCCCTCTCCCTCCAACTTCTGGTGGCGGTGGTGGAAATCAGGCCCATCAGATGGGGTCGGAGTAGCGAGGGTCGGAGGATCGCGCCGCATCGCCGATGCACCGACGCTGCGGCTCGACGCGGAGCCCGCTTTCTCCACGCCGACGTCGCCGATGCGTCGCCGTCGTCGGCGATGCATCGCCGACGTATCGCCGATGTGTCGACGATGCGGCGCGATCCTCCAGACCTATCTACTCCGACCCCACCTAGGGGGCCTCTACCATGGCGCCAACATCGCAGAGCGGATCTCGTTCGGAAAGCAATCGAGGCGTTCCAAAGAGGACCTTGCCTTCGAGGGTCGAAGGAGTTGACATCTCTTCCGCGGCGGAAGGCGGCGGAAGGTCGGCGGAAAGCCGGCGGAAGTAAAACGAGGCCGCCTCCGCCGGCGGAAGCCGGCGGAAGGCAGCGGAAGACGGCGGAAGTAAAGATGCGCCCGGGTTTCCGAAATCGCCCAATTGGATGGATGGGCCCGGATTGTCCTGGGGATTGTCGTTCCGGATTTCGAAGTTAATTTCGTGCGGATATTCTTGGACGGGAGTGAAGAATACAATTAATCCACGCGAGGTTCACTTCGTTTTTCGATAGCCGTTTCTGGGCTCTGTATTGACAGAAATCCATGCCAAGATCCGCTGCAGCACGTCTGCAAGGTCGGTGCAGTGACGAGGTCGGAGGCGACGATAGGGGCGAATAGCCCAGGGGCGGGCATTACTCATTTCACGTATTCGCCCGGGAGCCTCGTCGAAGGCATGGACCATCGGCGCCCTTGGAAACACGGATTGATTTCCCCTGGGCTATTCGCCCCCATCGTCGCCCCCGACGAGGGGGAGCCACGGCTGGCAGGTGTGCCGAACTCAGGAGCGAAAGAAGGACGTGTACGCACACGAATCCACGTTGATTTAAGTCGGGCTTGACCCTGTACGGGGGGAAAACTCAAAAATAGTTAAACAATAGTCTGGGGACTATTTTTTGAATATTTTTGGGCATCTTTTGAGCATTCTTTGTGTATTGTTCATTTTTCGCCCAAAATCCCCCTGTAGGGGGACAGGCCCGACCTAAACGTTGATTTCGAAAGCGTGCATTCTGCGAACGTTCTTCTGTGGCTGAGCTCGTGGACTGGCGGGCCGTATTCGTGTACGTGGGTGGGCGCGTGCGTGCTTCGTGGGCTTCCTACGAGTGGAGGCTTTGGTGTTCGATTTTTTCAGTTTCCTGCGTTCGAGATTCTGGGAGGTTTCCGGGCCCTGGGGTGGTTTTCATCGGCTCCGCCTCGCCGATTTCATCGGCTCCGCCTCGCCGAGAGCTTCCTGGGTAGCCCTGAGTTTTCCCCAACGGTCACCTGTCGGTCGGTTCGTTGAGTTCGGCTGTGTCAGGGTCAAACGCTTTCGAAGATTGTTTTTGGTTCTCGGAGGTTTCCTCGCCTCGGGTGCTCTCCAGCAGCTGCGCCTCGCCGAGAGCGTTCCGTGGGTGCTTGGATCGTCCCGACCGGCCGCCGTGGGCTCAAGTGAGGACCCCCAAATCACTCGAAGGCCAGATCTCCGACGACATGACTTTTGTGCACCTGCGTTTTTTCTTTGATTCTCGGCCCTCTGGGGCCCGCTATCGGGCCTGGGGGCCACCAACAACGGATCTGGGGCGAAACGTTGCCCCCCAGCAGACGGCTGGGATTTCCTAGGCCGCGGGTTGAACAATTGAAAACGTCGAGACGGGACATGAGATTCTTGATTTTTTTCGGCCCTTGGGGGCCTTCACTGGGCCTTGGGACCGCCAACGCACCGGCCCTGGGGAAGGGTCCAGACCTCGTGGGGGCCACGCCGTGCAGGAGTCACGACGTCGGCTGCTGAGCCACGCCGAAGTGGGGTCGCCACCCAAGGGGGCCACCAGATCCGCCCGAGGGGGCCCTGAGGGCAAACGCGCAGCTATTTTGGTTGTCTTCGGCCGTCCAGGGCCCTCGACGGGTCCCGGGGCACTTGAGCAAGTACTCAGGATGAAGAGCTTCAGGAGGGGAAGAAACACACAGACACAATGAATCGTCGACTCCCCAGGAAAATATGGGAAATATGCGAAGTGGGGGGGAAGACGGAACCCCAGAAAATATGGGAAAATATGGGGAATCTTGTTATTTGTGTGTATTTATTTGTGTGTCCGAAGATGAAGAGCTGGTCCCAGGGTGCTGCCCGTCTGTCCAGGACCCGTTCCCATCAGGACCCGTTCCTTTCAGGACAACGGTCTCTTCCCTCTCCGCGTCTTAAGCTGTTTGATCACTACGCAGTTGCCATACGCATCGTCGTCATTGTCGTCATCGTTGTCCTCGTCGTCGTCGGCGTCGTCGGCGTGTTCGTCTCCGTCTTATCTAGACTTCGTCTTCGTCGTCGCCTTCGTCTCGGTCTCAAGATTTGGCTTTTTCGTCGTCGTCGTCGTCGGCGGCGGCTTCGTCGGCGTCTGCGTCGGCGTCGTCGTCGTCGTCGGCGTCGTCGTCGTCGTCGTCTCTCGCGTAGGCTGGCTCGTCTGCGAGCACAGAGTTCCTTCTGTCCTCCTTGGACTGGGTGGACGACGACCTGCCGCTGCTGCACAGGCGCCCACCGCTTTCTTCTCCCGTCTTCCCTCCCCCTCGACCTACTCGACGTCCTCGTCCTTCTACTTATATTCTTCGATCTCCTTGTCCTTGTCCTCGTTCTCGTCGTCGTTGTCCTCCTTATCCTCTTCCCCGCCGACCTCGTCGATCTCCTCGACATCCTCGTGCTTATCCTCGCCCTCCTTATCGTCCTTTTCCTCCAGGGCATCGGCGTCTTTCTCCTGGTCGTCGCCGTCGTTCTCTTCCTCCTCATCGTTCCCGCCGTCGTCGTCCTCCACCTCCTCCTCCTCCTCCTCGTCCTCCTCCTCCTCCTCCTCCTCCTCTCCACTCTTTCTTCTTGCTCTCATCCTCCACCTCCTACTTCTCGAAGCCCTCGACCCTCCTCTCCTTTCTCCTCGTCGCCGTCGTCCTCCTGGTCGGCGTCCCCGTCCTCCTCTTTGCCGGCGTCCTTCTGCAGCTCCCCCACTTGTGGCGGCTGGTGTGCAGATGGGGCGCGCGCGCGCGATGCAGGAGGCGCTGGGTGACCAGGGGACTCAGGATGGGGAGGGGCCGGGAAGGCGCAAGGAGGAGAGCATGTGTGTGATGGTCCGATGCTGATGACATGTGTGTGTATATATACAATATACATATATATACATGTATACACAGAGATGCATTGATATATCTCTCTGCAGATGTATGCACATATGAACGTACGCATACACACGCATCTTTATTTTCCGGGAGACAGGGACACGGGGGCCCGGCCCAGCAGCCTTGGTCCTCCATGGGGGTGCCGGGCCGCCCAAACAGGCCCGCATGCTTTTTTTGGGCCCGGGAAGCGGCCAAGACGGCTCCCCAACGGCCCCGAATCGACCAAAGATCGCTCTTAGATGCCCAAGACGGCTCCAAGGCAGCCCAAGAGGCCTCCAAGACGGCCCAAGAGGCCTCGAAGAAGCGCCCCAAGAAGGCTCCAAGAGGCCAAAACCTTTGATTTTCAATAGGATAACGTACATTTTTGCATACATGACTTTCCGGCCTTCACGGCGTTAAAGACGGTCCAAGAGGCCCCCGAAGCCGCCCAGAGAAGGCCCAAGAAACTCACAAGAGGCGCCCAAGACGGCCCAAGAGGGCGCCAAGACGGCCCAGGCGGCTCCCACGACAGCCCAAGAGGGCCCCAAGTCCGCCCCAAGAGGAGCCCAAGAGGGGGAGCCCGACCCAAGAAGGCCCCAGGAGGCTCCCAAGAGGCCCCCAAATGCCCCCAAGAGGGCCCCAAGAGGCTTCCAAGAGGGCCCCAAGAGGTCCCCAAGAGGCCCAAACGAAGCCCCAGAGGGTCCAACACGGCGTCCCCCAAGAGGCTTCTAACCTGCCTCCAAGAAACCCGCGAGAGGAGGAGGAAGAGGACGTTTCTTCCCCTCATCCCCTCCTCCTCGTCCTGCTCCTGCTCCAACCTGTTCCATCATTCTCCCCTTCATCCTCCTCATCCTCGTCATCACCCTCCTCCTGATCTTCCTCCTCCTCCTCCTGCTCTTCCCTCCTCCTCCTCTTCTCCTCCCTTTTCCCTCCCCTTCCTGATCTTCCTCTCACCCTCCTCTTGCCTCATCCTCCCTCCTCCTCATCCTCCGTCCTCCCCCTCTTCCTCCTCCTCCCTCCTCCCTCCTCCTCCTGCTCCTGGTAGACTGACATCAAGGTTTCAGGGAGGCTGAGCCTGTCAGCGTGGTCTTCGCTGTGCGGGGGTCCACGTTGATCTTTGTTGGGGTGGGGGAGCAGGATTTGCCCCCCCCCCCCGGGGGCGCAACAAGCTAGCACCAGAGCGCGCGCCTGGGAAGAGGTCCCTGCTGCACTCTTCATAACCCTCCTTTTCCTCCTTCGCCTCACGCACCTCTACCTCCTCCTCGTCTGCTCCCCCCTTCATCGTGCTCCTCCTCTTCCTCAGCCTTTCCCCTCCTCCTTCTCCCTCCTGCTCCTCCTCCTCCTCCCTTTCCTCTTCCGCTTCTCTTCGTCTCCATTGTCCTCACCTTCCTCTTGATTTTCCTCCTCCTCCTCCTATTCCATTTCGTTGTCCTCCTCTTTGAGCGGAAGGCATGGAATTCAGAGTTCGTGGTCTGATTTTTAGGCTCCTCTTGGAGCCACCGTGAGGCCGTCTTGGGCGCCTCTTGAGGCATCATAGGCTCCCAAGAGAGCGCCC